ATATTCTTCATCTTCATAAGGTAAAGAATAGCAAGAGGGGCTTTGTCCCTAGAGCTTTCTCAACTGCAGACATAAAGACACAAGAGCCGGGGCACCTGGGTGGCTCAGTCAGTTGACCGTCCGACTTTGGCTCAGGTCATGATCTCACAGTTTGTGGGTTCGAGCCCCGCATCAGGCTCTGTCCTGACCGCTTGCTCAGAGCCTGGAGCCTGCTTCAGATTCTGTGTCTCCTTCTCTCTCTGCCCCTCCCCGGCTCACACTTTGTCTCACTCTGTTTCTCAAAAATAAATAAATGTTAAAAAATAAATAAATAAATAAATAAACAAACAAACAGAGACACAAGAGCCTGACTTCCCCTTGTCTCTATCTGCCAAGTATTATGGTTTCACATAAAATGGCTTCAGAGCTAAAATCTCACAGTTTTGTTTTGTTTTGTTTTTTTTTTAATTTCCTCCAAAGTACACCCCATTCAGCCATCAACAATGGATACTTATTTAGGACTGATATGTCAAACTCTGTGAGGCATATGGAAAACATGACAGAATTGAGTCAAGTGTAACATCCCTCCACTGAAGAAATAAAATGAAGATCCAATCCCACCCACTTTTGCATGGGATTTAAAATATCCTTCATATGTTTTAGTTAATTTCACATTAATAAAAGAACAAATCAATGGCAAAATTGTAGGTAAATATTATAAATACAACAGAATCAGCATTGTGATTAAAGATAAAAACTTTCATTTACCAAAGAAAGCCCTGAAATCTAGGTTAAATTTTTGTGGGCTATTATCAGTCTTTAAAAAAAAAGGGGGGGGGGGCTTGATTTATTTTTTTTAAAGGATGAAGGGTTTTTTGTTTTTGTTTTTTTTTTAGTTTATTTCGAGACAGAGCAAGAGAGGGAGGGAGGACAGGAGTGGGGTAGGGGTAGGGAGGGAAAGAGAGAATCCCAAGCCTGACATGGGGCTCAATCTCACTGACTGGTGAGATCACGACCTGAGCCAAAATCAAGAGTCAGATGCTGACTGAGCCACCCAGGCACCAGATGGGGCTTGATTTAAAAAGGTCTTTCAGAATAGACAACCTGACACACAGTTCTGTATAAACCAAATCAAAATGTTATCAATCTTTCGATTTGGAAGTCCTTGACACACCTTTTTCTTTTATCATCCCTATTTGGGCTGGTCAATGTTTCTTCCAGAATCTCCCATTTGCCCTTTTTCTTTCTGACTATCCTCATTTCTTGCCTGGATTTGCTCATTCATTTGTTCATCATTTACCAAATGCCTATTATCTGCCATGCACAAAGCTAAACCCTTGTCCTGGCTCTAAGGAAGCTCACATGATACTATGTAGAACTGTTATCTGCCTATCTCCATGATGGGGTTGCAAACTGTAGCAAAGGTTTTATATTTCCAGAACCTAGCAGCATCTGGCATATAGTCTAAAAATGTTTATTATATGACACTAGACTATTTCAGCAAGCTCTTTTTAAGCCCATAAATATTTATATCTTCAAAAATGACTCGCTTTTCTTCACTTTTTAAAATACAAAAGTAATTATGTGCACAATGCAAAAATTAGAAAGGTACCGAATACAAAGTGAATTCTCCAATCGCCTAAATCCTACTTCCAGAAGTGACTACTAGTACAGTTTGGAATGGATCTTTCCAGAGCTTTCCTATCCTGATGTATAACACACACTTTAAAATTTTTTTGGAACAAGTTCTTTGACAGTTTGACTCTAGCTTCTCAACTTTCTAATCCAGTTGAAGTTCTCCAAGTGTTATCCCTGGATTAGGAACATCAACATCATCTGGGAACTCATTAGAAATAAAAATTCTTAGGCCCCCCTCTGGACCTACTAAATCAGAAACTCTAGAGGTGGGGACTTCTGCAGTATGGGTTTTATTTTTTAATTAAAAAAATTTTTTTTTTACTAAGCTCTACGCCCAATGTGAGCTTTGAACTCACGACCCAGAGATCAAGAGCCACATGCTCTACCGACTGAGCCAGGCAGGCACCCCCTATAATATGGGTTTTAAACTCTTCAGGTGATTCTAATGCACACTAATCATTGAGAACCACTGCTCTAATCCAGTCAATACAGATTTTTCACTATTTCTTAAACACAGTTTTACCACCCTACTTCAAAAGGCTTTCTTTGCCCTTTTGATTAATTCTGACCCTACCAATCAGTCAAAGCTCTGAAAAGTCCTAACTTCTCCCCAAAGTACTCTCACTACCACAGCTCATGCTGATCCTTCTTGCCTGTCCCCCAACTTCTGTGACACCTAGTTCCTCTACCACACAACTTAACAATTACAGTTAAAATTAACAGTTCTTTACTATTCCCCAACAAAGTTCCTTAAAGACATGAATCATATTTTTATTTCTTCTTTACCCCTGTTCTTAGCACATAAGTGGAATTTTAATAGAGATGCTGGTTAATATAAGGATAAAGTCACTTATTAATGGATAAAAAGTTTGAAATTTCAAGTTGTAGCCCCAGTTCTGTGACCTTGGACAAGTTCACTTCTCAGGATGAGGTCTGAAAAAACAAGATGGACTCAATGACTTGATGCTTCCTTTCAGCCTCAACAGTGTATGATTTTATGAAATGTACCATTATACTCTCATATTGCTTGCTTATAATGCTATCACGGCAATTTTTAGACTTGAGTTACAGCTGGATACGGTGTTTCCCAGTTAGCTACTAAGCTCTTTTAACAAGGGTCATATTTTAATCAACTGAGAATCTTATACCATGCCTTACATATAATAACAGCTCAATATATTTGCAGAAAATTATTTGGAAAAACTCTTTAAAAAGCTTAATTTATGCAGAAAACCTATGCATAGATCTGCTGCTTCCCAAAGGGCCCTTTGAAAACTTATTATTGTAAATACTATGAAGTGATTTATGGAAAAAAATTCTGATTATTCTGATAGAACCAGGGGTAGTCAGCTACATAATGCCAAAGAATGTAAAAACTCTCACGTGTATTTAGGGATAGACTAAAAGGCCGTAAGCCTCAGACTACCTTACTGCAACACGCAAATAAAAACTGCCCTGTACACTTAAGTGGCATAAAACAACTCCACTGTTGGGAATAAACAGACGTCTTCACGCAAAACCTTTATCTGCAAATTTACAGAAACAGGGTGGAATGGAGACCTTGAATGGCAGGTGATGACCAGAAGTTGAATCTAAAGGGAAGGACAGCAAAGAGCAATTGAAGGGCAAGAAGGAGGAACAGAAGAGCAGCAGGAAAACATCACTCTGAGCGATGAAAAGGAGCAGTGGAAATTCACAGAGTCTTTACCAAGGGCCTACTATGAACCAAGCACTTGGGGCTGCAAAGATGGCTCCAGACCTCAGGCGGCTAATATAATAGTCCTGAGGGTAAAACTGAAGCCTCTACCCTACTGCATGTAAGTGTGAGTATGAGTGTGTGTGTGTGTGTGTGTGTGTGTGTGTGTGTGTGTGTGTGTTTAGTTCTAATTGGTAAAATCAAGCAAGGAAGGCTTCACATAAAGATGGTGAGTTAATGGAGCTTTAAAGTGTGTAGGAAGATTTGCTAAGGGAGAAAAAAGACAGTTGAGCTAGTTATTTTGGGGAAGAAACATTCACATATTTTTACAGCTGTTCCTTTGGGACTTTAAATCATGGAGGCTTCTTATATTCACCACCACTTTGTCATATGCCTTCTTTCTCTTTTTACTTTACCTTAAATACTGACATGTTCAAGCCCAGCATTGGAACAGAGTCAAAAAAACCCAGAATGAGGTGAGTGCTAGCCAAATTTGCTCTGTCACCTCCAAATCCAGCCAGCCCAGCTAGCCCAGTCCTGCTCTCCTGGCTGCCGGAAAAGGAAGACTAATTATATCCTCTGGGGGTAAAATTTGGACGCAGGCAGGCAAAGCTTATCCCTGTTCCACCAGTGAGGTACCATGGTAGAGCTTCATTGCCTCCTAAGCCATGAGGATCTAGTCTACCTGTGACATGGAGGTCAGCTTCGCAGGGAAAAAAAAAAAAAAAAAAAAGCTGCATGAAAAAGAAGGGGGATGCACTGGATTGGAAAACGCTGAGTTAAGTGAGATAATCGTCATAAAACGTTTAATAATATCCCTGGCACACAGAAAGCGTCGAATCAACGTGAGCTCTTATCAACAACATACTGCTACTACTGTTGTTGTTGTTGTTATTATTATTATTATTGTTATTACAATAATACCTCAATTGTACTCCAACAAGAAATCACTGTTTTCACACCCTACTTTTAGGACGTTGAAGAAGCAACTCCAGAGATGAAAGTGTCTTTCAAAAATTTTTAAAGCTACACGATCAAATTCCAACCGTGCTGGCCTGAAAGCCCCAGAATCTGAGTTCAAGAGCTAGTCCTGCTTTTTGCCAGGCGCGTGACCTTGGGCTCAGCACTTCATCTCGGTGCCTCAGTTTCCCCATTTGTAAAGTGGGACTAAGAAGCCCCTCCCTCGCAGGGTCGTTGTGGGGTCCAGCCCGCGGGTACTACTCGCTGCACCGGGGTCCCATGGATGCAAGGCGAGCTCCCGGCCCGTCTTCCAAGACCCCTGGCTTCGGGACGGGTGGGGTAGGTGAATACGCTACCGGAGGCCCATTGAGCTCCGCCGCCCGCAGGGCAGGAGCAGAAAAAGGGAGCGCGCTTGAGATGCGTCCCTGAGACCGAGGGGGTCGGGCGCCGGGAGGCTCGGCCCTAGCCGCCCGCAAGCTGTCACCAGCGGTGTCGTCGCGGAGCCCCGCAGCCCGGACGCGGGGAGCGGCCGAGGGAGGCCAGGCTGACCCAGGTGCCGCCGGCGGGGAGAGCGGAGGGCGCTGGGGGACCGGAGGAAACTGGCAGCGCGGGCCCGGGGCCCTGGCGCGCCGCGGAGATGTGGCGGGGAAGGAGAAAGCAGGGGGAGCGACGCCCCCGCAGGCAGCGCCGCGCGCCCCGCGCGGGCCAGGCTGAAGCGCTCACTCACCTGAGGCTCGGGCACCCGCCAGCAGTGCACCAGCGGCAGCAGCGGCTGCGAGAGGGGCGGGGAAGGCTCTGCGGCCACGCAGGCGCGTTGAGGATGTCCGGACCACGCAGGCGCGCTGCGCCCGCCCGCCTCAGGAACTACCAAGAAGATGGTGGCTGAGCCGGGAGGGACGGGCGACACCATCTTGGATGTAGTTTTTCCTGTTGTGGAGTCTACTGGGAGAACCTGAAACTAGAGCTGCGCGGAGGGAGGGGCGTTGAGTGCGGCGTCTGGCCCGCCTCCTTCCTCCCCTTCCGCCAAATAGCTTTCCTAACGAAACCCCTAAGGACCCTTGCAAAGCAAGGAAAGGAAGTCATCTCCTTTTATGTGGGCCCAGAGATGCACCCAAGGGCACAAGGCCTAGCACAGTGCTTGGCTGGCTAGTGAGGGGCGCTTACCAGATTTCTAGTGAATGAGCACAGGAACTGAAGAACTAGAATCCAAGACTCAGGGCTGCTAATTCCCAGCCCTCCATTCTGTCACCTCTATTGACAACTGCCAGCCACACCATCTCCTTTCTTGGGTGCCACAAGGGAAATGGGAATTTTGTTTTGTTTCCTCAAAGAATGATTACATATTAAGCTTAATGACCCAACAATTTAACACCAAAATGTACAGGACAAAATTCCCTTCCCAGAAAAGCTTTTTGGTTAATCTCACTGACTAAAGGTAAAATAGTCTCAACTGTATTAGGGCAAATGTAAGGATTACCAAACATCTGAAGGACAGTGACTGTCTATAATATTGTTACTCATCAAGCACAATTCCTGAACCAAATTTGGGAAGAGAGAAAACTAAAATTAACCGACCACAGCCTTTTATTATTTTATGATTGTGGTTATTCGGTAACATTCACTGAGTACCAAATTGGTTCTACTACCTATATGTCCTTGGTTAGATTATTAAGCCTCTTTCTTAATGCTTGAGTTCCTCACTTATAGTGACAAAATAATACAAGCTACCCATGTTATGGTCTGTATGAATGTAAAATGCTTATGTTATTTACAAAAAATTTTTTTTAATGTTTATTTTTGAGAGAGAGAGAGAAAGAGACACAGAGTACAAGTGGTGGAGGTTCAGAGAGAGGGAGATACAGAATCTGAAGCGGGATCCAGGCTCTGAGCTGTCAGCACAGAGCCCCACTTGGGGCTCAAACTCACAAATGGTGAGATCAGACCTAAGCCAAAGTCGGACACTTAATTGACTGAACCACCCAGGCGTCCCAAGTGTTATTTTTCTTACTTAGCTGTTGAAGATGCAGACAAAAACTCTTTTTACCCTTGAGTTTGAACAAATTCTTATAAACAAAAAATGCAACACAATGTACTAAATAAAATGAGGGAAGTTACAATCACCTGGGAGAGGTGTCCTCTATCCCCATTTTACAGATGATGAAATTGACCATAAGAGACAAAGATGCTCTTCAAACTGTATGCTCTTTCCATTATACTGCTATGCTTTTCAAAGAGTAGGCAATTAACACAGCTCTTCTGATTCTTAAAAGCCCCAGCTTTCCTTGGGGCTGTCCAGTTTTCCTTCTTGCTCTAGCCTTGACAATATTATCCATTCTCAAGGTTTCAATAGCTACTCATTAGCTACTTCCAAATTTTGTATCCAGTCCAGATTTACCAGTTTTCCACCTCTATATCCAAAGGTCTAATCTCAATTTGAACTACGAGATTTCCCATTTCATTACTGCTCTCTTACCCAGTTTTTCAAGCTTTCACCCCTCCACCATATTGATACCAGTATTCTAAATTTATAGTATTTCATCTTACTTACAGCATCCCTGTGATATAGGTTCTATCATTCTCCCAATCTTACAGATAAGAGATTTAATCACTTTTTCTCAATCACAGTAAGTGGCAGTTAGGCTTCGAACACATAGGTCACATGCCTACTAAGTTCCAGATGCTATGAGCAACTCATATGTTTTTGTTTTTTGCTCTATCCCCAGTTCCCAGAACTGTGTCTGGCATATAACAGGGGCTCTGTAAATACATGAAAGAAAAGAGAATGTAGGTCAAAGGAAAGAGATATCCTTTCACTAATTGGTACTTAGGCCAAGGTTTAAGACTTAAGAATAATGACTGGGTATTTAAATGAAATAGGCTTTATCCTATTAGAAGGATCAGAGAATAAGAAACATTAACAATAAATTAGTTGGTGTTTTACTGGTAATTAATGTGGAGGCATATCTCCACACTACTGTTCACTTCAGCATCTTGGCAAAGAATCCTATTTTCTGCTAAGCCCTTGCTGACGTAAAAGGTTTTTTTTTTACTTTCTGTATTTATTTTTTACAATTTACATCCAAGTTACCACATGGTGCAACGATTTTAGTAGATTCCTTAAGCCCCTTACCCATTTAGCCCACGTCCCCTCCAGCAACCTTTTTGTTCTCTATGGTTAAGTCTCTTATGTTTTGTCCCCCTCCGTTTTTGTATTATTTTTGCTTCCCTTCCCTTATGTTCATGGTTTGTATCTTCAAGTCCTCATATGAGTGAAGTCATTTGTCTTTCTCTAATTTTGCTTAGCATACCTCTAGTTCCATCTATGTAGTTGCAAATGGCAAGATTTCATTCTTTTTGATTGCTGAGTAATACTTCATAGTGTATGTGTGTGTATATATATATATACACACACACATCTTCTTTATCCATTCATTCATTGATGGACATTTGAGCTCTTTCCATACTTTGGCTATTGTTGACAGTGCTGCTATAAACATAGGGGTGCATGTGCCCCTTCAAAACAGCATATCTGTATCCCTTGGATAAATACCTAGTAGTGAAATTGCTGGGTCATAGGGTAGTTCTATTTTTAATTTGTTGAGGAATCTCCATACTGTTTTCCAGAGTGGCTAAACCAGTTTGCATTCCCACCAGCAGTGCAAAAAAGATCCTTTCTCCACATCCTTGCCAACATCTGTCGCTGCCTGAGTTATTAATGTTAGCCATTCTGACAGGTGTGAGGTGGTATCTCATTGTGGTTTTGATTTATGTTTCCCTGATGATGTTGAGCATTTTTTCATGTGTTGGTTGGCCATCTGGATGTCTTGAGAAGTGTCTATTCGTGTCTTTTGCCCATTTCTTCACTGGATTGTTTTTTGGGTGCTGAGTTTGTTACGTACTTTATAGATTTTGGATACTAACCCTTTATCTGATATGTCATTTGCAAATATCTTCTCCCACTCCATCAGTTGCCTTTTAGTTTTGCTCATTGTTTCCTTCACAGTGCAGAAGCTTTTTATTTTGATGAGGTGCCAATAATTCATTTTTGCTTTGGTTTCCCTTGACTCCAGAGATGTGTTGAGTACGAAGTTGCTACAGCCAACGTCAAAGAGGTTTTTGCCTGCTTTCTCCTCTAGGATTGCGATGGCTTTCTGTCTTAACATTTAGGTCCTTCATCCATTTTTTTACTTTTGTGTATGCTGTAAGAAAGAGGTCTAGGTTCATTTTTCTGCATGTCGCTGTCCAGTTTTCCCAGTACCATTTACTGAAGAGACTGTCTTTATTCCATTGGGTAGTCTTTCCTGCTTTGTCAAAGATTAGTTGGCCATATGTTTCTGGGACCATTTCTGGGTTCTCTATTCTGTTCCATTGCTCTGTTTTTGTGCCATTTTTTAAAAATGTTTATTAATTTTTGCAAGAGAGCATGAGTGGGGAGGGGCAGAGAGAGAGGGAGACACAGAATCCAAAGCAGGCTCCAGGCTCTGAGCTGTCAGCACAGAGCCCAACACAAGGCCTGAACTCACGAACCACGAGATGATAACCTAAGCTGAAGTCAGACACTTAACCGACTAAGCCACCCAGGGTCCCCTTAAGAAAGGTTTTTATACACCCAAAATATACACAAAGACAAAAGAAAGCTTTTAATAATGTGCAATTTTATAATGCAAATTATTAAAAATAGAGAACAATGAAAAATAGTACTTAGCCTCTTTGTGCTATGAATCCAGGATTTAGGATATCAATTCAATATTAAAAGCTAAAGCACACTGTAGATAACAGGACAGAGAATAAGTGGTATTTCCTTCAATTTGGACATCGTGTGAAGTGATACATGTAGCCATGTGATGCAAACAATGTTCAAAACTTCACTACCTGAAATCACCTTCAGGGCCATACCAGAAAATCAGTCCCATTCCTTTCCTACCAGAATCCAACTTGACCCCTAAAATGTGTCCCTGGATTTGGTCCTGAATGACTCTGGATTGTTTCAAAACCTAAAAAACACCTTCACAAAATGAAGATTACTGACCACGAAGGATATTTAAAAGAATGGACTACTAGTTCTCAAGGTCATTTCACAATAGAAGTTGCAAGCATTTTGCACATTCTTGGAAAAAGTATCTATGCTACTCTTTCGATGCATAAGTTCTGTCACTTTTAGAAAAAAACTGAAGTACTCTACATTCAGCCAGTTATCCTCAAAGGCAACAGGGCAGCTATCACCAGCTCAGACCACCATGCAATCACCATGTGCTGGGGCATTCTTCCATTTCTCTCCTCTGGAGCACCTTATGGCAGGAAAGCTGCATGAAGTCACTGACAAGATCTAGAGCAATGGTGGGTTCCGCAGTTGAAGCTTGAGCAGTTTTCGAGCTGGTGACGGATCTAACTGCTGTGTGCTTCTCTTCCCTGCAGAGGAAAGACAAAAGTAAATTTCAACTGAATTCAAATAACATTATTGAAAACTTGGTGTATGGACACTATGCCAGACACTGAAGGGCATTACAATGACAAACGAGAGAATCTCTGTCCTCCAGGAGACAGCAGTCTGGTAGGAAAGCCAGCTGCAACTACAACCATAATACAACATAGTAAGAAAATTAAAGTATATATAGCAAACAATTTTGGGCTGGAGGAGGCCAGGAAGAGCAACAGGGAAGTAATGTCAGTGTCATTTAGTGGATTCTTGGAAGAATGAAGAGGAAAAAGGGCAAATAGATATTAAAAATATTGTATTTACTAAAACAACATGAGGGTTTGTGGGGACTTAGTTTTCAGTCTACTGTGCTCCTGTGGAATTTACATCGAGAAATTTCCCATCAACTTTGAGTACCCACAGCACAATAATTATTTTGAGGGGAGAAAAAGAAATCATCTGATATAGGCCTTACTCTGAGACCACATGCTTTGAAGGGCAGTTTGTATGTGAAGGGCTATCATACAGAAAATAGTGCAATCTCTAGTCCCCTCAAGACACACACTCACCAAGCTGTACTGACACCTTCTGGAGACACTGGGTACTTTCATCCATAAAAGCCTGCAGCTGCTTCACTGATCCCTGTAGTTCATCCATCTGCACAGGAAAGACAGATGTGAGCTGTAAGGGTCTGTGGCTTCTGTGATGTTCCTCAAAAATCGCCAGGCAAGCTCCCACTAAGGACCTTTGCCTTTGCTCTTTTTCAACCTGGAATGTTTCTGCCAGACATTTTGTTTGCTCCTCCTGATCCACACTCTGCACTTCTCCATGCTGCCCTATGCCCTGGGGCCACTACTATGGATAATCTCAAACACGATCCCATGTCCTCTGACATCTGGGTCAGTTTAGCCAAGAGGATGCCCATGTGTAAGGGAGACGAATGAAGTCAGGATATTTTTACTCAGGCTCCTGGAAGGGTGCATCTTAGCTGCAGGTCATGGCTCTCTTTTCCCTCCCTCCGCCCTTCAGTCCTAGGGATAGTAAGAGCTCAGCTGCCTCTGAGCCCCAGGTTATTTCAACTAACCCTTTTGGTTTCCTCAATACCCACACTTTATACATCACTTTTTCAATTACCCTTTATCAAGTGTCATCTGCTTCCTGTTGATACTTGGAGTGATACAATACTATTCTCCCAAATGTCCTCATGGCTCACTTCCTCCTTTCTTTCAAGTCTCTGTTAAAATGGCACCTTAGAAGGACCAGGGGCACCTAAGTGGCTCAGTCGATTGAGTGTCTGGCTCTTGATTTCGGCTCAGATCATGATCTTATAGTTCATAGGATCAAGCCACGTGTCAGGCTCTGCACAGACAGCATGGAGCCTGCTTGGGGTCTTCTCTCTCCACCCCTTACCCAACTTGTGAACGTGCTCTCTCTCCTCAAAATAAACATTTTTTAAAAAATGGTACCTTAGGGGAATAATCAACAACTGCTCTATACAGCAACCTGCTGCCCTTCCTGTATATTCTCCCCTACTCTGTTTTATTGGCTCTTAACACCATAAATAAATAAATAAATAAATAAATAAATAAATAAGTAAATAAGTAAATAAATAGATAAATAAATAAATATTGATTGATTGATTGTCTCTCCATGTTTCCCCAAGGTAGAGCTGAATATACTTATTACACATATTCTCCAGGTCTCGTAATTTCCAAGGATGACAAGATAGGTAAACCAAATAACCAAATAAACATGAGCCGACTAACCATCAACTCCATATAATCAAAGATTTTGTTCTGGTTCTGCAATATCTTCTGGTAGTCAGGCTTTGTGTGAAGGACTTCACTCTGGGAAGACCCAAGATATGTTGCAGGTTCCACTTCAACTTCGGTAACTTTGGTTTCAACTGATTCTCTGAAAATAAAATAGAACAAAAGAGCTTTCAAGGAATTTTATAATCATTTTCTGGGGGAAGATAATATAAAACGACTTGGGGAAAAAACAATGACCTGGGGATTTCTTTCTGGAAATCAAGGTCTCTAATCTTTTTCCAAAAAAATGCTGGGTCACTTCAATTATCTACAATAACTGAATATGATGGAGAGTGCATGAAAATTGATCACTCTCACAATTTCCTGACTGCTAGACCCTGCCATTTCACCTCAATTAACACTTACAATAACCCAATGAGGTAGACACTACTACCACCCCCATTTTCAAGTGAGGAACTTCAGGTTTAGAGATTAAGTCGCTTGCCCACAATCACAGAATGAAGAAACAAGTATTTGAACAGAGACAGTCGGCTTCCAGAAGCATTCCTCTTAACTAACAAGCTAGGCCACACCAAAAGTTTTTATTCTGAAACTGCCATCTTATATATTACCTATCTTCATAAACAGCACATGTAAGGAGTCAATAAAGTAACAATCAATGCCTAGACTGGAGAAGTTTTTCAAACCATGTTTCTCAAAGCACCTCTCTACTAAGAAGACACTTCCACAGTTACATTTTATATTTGGGCCCAGCTGAGTTTCTTTTGGAAAAAAAAAGCTTAAAATCACTGGCTTAAATGACCAACTAAATCAAGTCTAGCACTTTCCCACTTTCTTATGCCTTTAAGACCCAGACAAAGTTCCTCTCTCTTCTGTACACCCTCTTTCATCACCCCTTCCATGTCGTTGCATCTCCATGAAGGACCTGGAGAGCAGTCTCTCCCATACCTGCAGCTCAAAGGCCATGTGCAAACTGAAGTCCCCTGTTTTTGGCCCAACCCCAGGTGCCCTGGTAGAAGGCAGAGACGTGCCTGTCTCCCCCCAGGATGTGTAATAGCAGCCACGGGCACAGAAGCAGTTCTGTTCTTTGACCGAAAATAGGGATATTCACTCTTCCTCCCCATCCCTCAATTCTCCATTTATAATCCTAGAGTGCTAATAACACATTTTATAGAGCTTTGATGAATTGACTGGCTTGTGAGAAAGGATTCATCGTTCAATCTGTGCTAACAGAACTGAAATCAATTTAAATTCCACAAGGTAAAAAGATGGCTTCCTACTTCCAGTCACAGATCTAACCTGGAAATGATGTCTTCGGCCTCCTTCTGGTATTGTTGCAAGAGCTGATCCCAAGACTGACGTTCTAAAGAAAATCTACAGGATCAGGAAAAAAAACATTCAGTTAATTTTCGATTACATTCCGAATCATTCAAGGCCACAGTAAGTACATTAGGTGTCTGCTCTGGTTCTAAAATGTGAAAAAAAAGGTCATTAAAGGATTAGAAAGCCTGAGTGATTCAGAGGATATTATTTAATCAAATCAAACCTGAGTTCTTAAAGTCAAATTAACACTTTTATTTCGTAGACTCCATTCTATGAAACTGGCCAAGAGTACAGCCCACAAGATCCCAATATGCAGCTTTCTAAATTCTAGTGTTTACACACCAGTATTGACACTCTAAATGGGGTATTTACTATTCATTTCTCCCAGAACTAGTTATTTTCCCTAGATGAATTTAGATAGTCCAATAAAGGATCATTTTCACTTACTTTGTTATGTATTCCTTCATCTCAGCCACTGATGTTTCCAGAGACAAATCTGATGCTTTTCTGGAATACAGATAGGATTATAAGATCAACATAAATCTTTCAAGAGCACTTGCTTTTAATAGGATGTCTTACATAATTTTAATGGCAATAAAAGATGTTCAGAATTTATCTTTCAACAAGTATTTATTCTTGGGCTCTCACTTTTGTAGTAGATAAGTTTCCTCAGTGGTTGCTTTATTTTCTGTTTCTCTCATCAATTCCAATTGACCCATAGCCAGATTAACCTTCACTAAAATATTCCTTTTTTTTTCCTTGTCTAAAATTGTGACCCTCTACTGCATTCCTAATAAAAGTCAAAATTCCTTAACCTGGCACTTAAGGCTATGTTCTGGCTCCGATTAGCTTGTTAGCTTTGATTCTAACTATTGCCTTTCACCTATTCTGCCCATATAATCTCACTCGGCCTCACCCTCAAATATCTGGAGTTTTCCATCTCCAAACTTTTGTTCACATCACTTTTAAATTTTTTTAAACGTTTATTTCTGAGAGACAGACAGAGAGACAAAGGAGATACAGAATCTGAAGCAGGTTTGAGGCTTCAAGCTGTCAGCACACAGCCTGACATAGGGCTCAAACTCACGAACCGTGAGGTCATGACCTGAGCCGAAGTAGCACACTTAACAGACTGATCCACCCAGGTGCCCCTTTGCATATTATTTTTCAGTCTATTCTTTTTACGTCATCTTTCAAGGCCCAACAATACTTTTGTATATGACCTTCTTGTCTTCACACTTAAAATTAAGCTGTCGGTGGACAGAGATTATATTTTACTCATACCAATGGCTTAGCTCAGTTGGATGATTAATCCTGATGGAAAGCAGGCACTGAAAATGCCAAAATCCTCCAGATGTACTTGGTACTCTACCTGGCAAGACAAATTAGTTGTGCCACCTTTCATGTTTCTCTACCAAAGTCTGTGACACACAGCTTCTATCACTTCTGGCCTGGATGCAGCAGCCAGTGGCTTAAATACATCGCATTTTTAGGGATACTATGTCAAGCCAACAGATTTTTCATTTCCTGAATAGTAATGTTAATTCTAAGGGTCTGTGTGTGAGAAAGTAGATCTTTGTGAAGTCAAAATTAAAAAGTTTCTGATGTAGGCCCAAGTGACAGGATTTGCTGCAGGACAGGAGGTAGAGAGTTGGACCTTGCCCCTACAGAGGAACTACCAGTTTGGGGCTGGAATTTTAAAAATTCTCCTAACAGTCTTGCTTGCCAACAGCTAAAGAACATAGTTTACCACCAACTTGCATAGCTAGCAAAGATCTGAACAATGTTTTCCCCCTCATCGTTCCATGGCTGGTTCCTTCTCACTACCCAGATCTTATAGATCTCAGTCCAAAGGTCAATTCATTACAGGTCTTCTCTAAACACTAGCTAAAGTTGCCCACCCCCTCAAACCACTATCATAGTTACTGACTTCTTAGATTATCACTACCTGAAATCTTTATTTTCTATGTATTCATCTGATTGTCTCTATTAAAATCCATAAGAAGAGAGAACTTGCTTGACTTACGTATCACTTTATCTCCAGCATCTAGAAGAGCCTGGTGTGTATAAGATGCTGGATAAATGTTTGAGTGAATGAACAAACTAATTATAATGGAAAGTCTTCATTTAATTATCATTTAGGACAGAAGGGGAACTGCACACACCCTTTTGAATCTTCAAAACATTTCTGTAAAGTTCCATTACTTTCCAGGTTCTCTGCAAAATGTTTCAATTCCTCAGAAAGGGAAGATGCTAGAACAGAAATAAAGTACATGTTGTAAAATGAAAAGAATATGAATTTTCACAGCAAGCTGCTGACAATGACATAACATACTTAAGGTGGTCTTAGCTCTAGGATCCCCTATTACATTCTGGCCTTCTCACCCATTCAAAGTAGTAGTATAAATGTGCAGAAAGATTTTATCTTTTTTCTTTGGGCCAGTATAGATAAAATGGAAGACAATTCCTCTTTATGACATGTATGATAGTTTTTCTTTTAATACTTGACTGGTGAAAAAGCATTTAAAAGGTATACATGCACTGACATTACATTCTATCCAAGATTTCAAAAGCCTGCACTGAAAAGAAGAACATATTACAGAAGTCAGGCAACAGGCAAGAGCTTAATGAAAAATGTTGAAGGAGAATAAAGAATTACGGGCATAAGGGAAAGACTTGTCTCTGCTTAGCTTTGGAAGCCTTGGAAGCTCATATATTTCTAGGTCTTTTAAGTAGGTAACACTGAATTTTTCTGACCGTGGATAATTGTGTAGTTATACTATAAACAGCTACTTCCTAGAAAGTTAAAAATGGATTCCTGAGAGAGAATATTTGTAACGTATATCACACATTAACAGCTAATTTCCTTAATGTATACAGTTCCTACAAATCACTATAAAAAAGCCAACATCCCAATTTTCAAAAATGAACAAAGGAGCCTTTCTGGCAGTGATGACCTTCCCACGAGAACATCCTGTCATGAAGGGCCTCCCAGAAGAGGAAGCACAAGAAGCACCTGGTGCAGAACCCCAACTCCTACTTCATGGACGTGAAGTGCCCATGATGCTACAAAATCACCACCATCTTTAGCCATGCACAAACATGAGTTTTTGTGTGCTCCACTGTCCTTTGCCAGCCTACAGGAGGAAGCGAGGCTTACAGAAGGATGCTCCTTCACACAGAAGCAGCACTAAAAGCAACCTGAATCAAGATGAGTGGGAAATGATCCCAATCAATACATTTTGGATTAAAAAAAAAAATAAAACAACAAAGGATACAAACAATACACCGAAAATGAAGTATAAATGGCTCTAAAAAAAATGAAAAAATGCTTATCTTCTTTGAAAGAGAAAGGACCACAGATTAAGACTAGACAATACTTTGTATCACCTACCAAATAGTAAAAAATCTGAATTGTTTAATAAAACTATTGAGGATATGGGGCGCCTGGGTGGCTCAGTCAGTTGAGTGTCTGACTTCAGCTCAGGTCATGATCTTGCAGTTTGTGGGTTCAAGTCCTGCATCAGGCTCTGTGCTCAGAGCCTGGAGCCTGCTTTAGATTCTGTGTCTCCCTCTCTCACTGCCCCTCCCCTGTTCATGCTCTCTCAAAAATGAACATTAAAAAAAATTAAAAAACAAACAAACAAAACTATTGTGAGTATGAAAAAATAGGTACTTGCATATATTACTGGTAGGAGAATTGGTAAAACATTTCTAGAAGGCAGTCTGGTATTCCTAACATTTCATTTGACCTATGTAATTCCAATTCTAGAAATTTATCTTATTTTTACTTGCATATGTACCTGAAGGCTTGTGTAAGAAGATGTTCATTAACCCATTCATTGTAATAGCAAAAGACTGGAAACCCTAAAAGCCCATCAATAAAGAACTGGCTAAATCATATATGGTACATTTATAAAATGAAATATTGTATGGCTACTAAACTGTCAAAACAGTTCTATGTGTGCAATACCGAATGATGTGCAAGACAAACTGTTAGGTTAAAAAAAAAAAGACAAGGTAAAGAAGAGTACAGAGAGCATTATTCACTTGATATTAATGTAAAAATGTTGGAAATCCAGCAAGATCTCTGCGATGATACATAAGAAGCTGGTGGTTATAGTGGCCTCTGTACAGAGGAGGTGGCCTGGTTTGGGTGGGAGGCAAGCTTATTTTTCACTTTTATACCTTCTGAATGTCATAAGCATATACTCTTATTTTTTAAACACAATTCTAAAATATAAAGGGAGGGCTGGTTTTGTGAGCCAGCAGCTCCTATAAATGGGGATCCTGAAAGTGGGGCTTCGACTGACCTTAACAGGAGGTAAAGCCCAAGGCCAAAGCTTGCTCATTTATTCTTAGCAACTTACCTTTGGCTCTAAAACTTTCAAGACTGAAGCCCTCAGTGTCCTTTAGGAAAGGTTCAAGTTTCTGAACTGAGAACTAAATAAAGAAAAGCATTTTAAAAAAAAAAAAAGCATTTTCAGTACAACAACAAAGATTTTTCAGACCAGTCCTGAGTTCATGTAATTTCATGTTTAATCAATGTGAAAGTAAACATGATTTAGTTTTTATACCTAACATTTTTCATACAAATAAGTAGATCAGGAAAAATCTCTTTGTTGTTCAGACTATACATTATGATTTTCAGTTCAGAGAAACATGGCCATTTAATTAACACAAATGATGCTCTTATCTAAACTGATGTAATTACCAGTTAGCCATATAATTCCCACTCACTATGTAGTCAGACCTCAAATGTCTGCTTTAACTTACTGACCTCCACGCACTTTAAATTCCCATCATTTGCTGTCAATGGACAAAATATACTAGATCGAAGAAATCTGACTATTAGCTGCTCAGTTAGCAGCAACAGCACCAGTGGGACTGGTAGAGAGCCTAGTCCAGAGAGAAATCAGCTGCTGCTTTGATTAAATCTGGCTTTTAAATTAATACAACTAGAGAGAAACGTCTTTTAATCTTTATTTTGAGAGACAGAAAGAGCGTGTGCGTGCACAACAGCCAAGGGGAAGGACAGAGAGTGGGGGAGACACGGAATCGGAAGCAGGCTCCAGTCTCTGAGCTGTCAGCACAGAGCCCAATGTGGGGCTTGAAGCCACAAACTGAACTGCGAGACCATGACCTGGGTCAAAGTCTGACACTTAACCAACTGAGACACCCAGGTGCCCCGAAACACCTTTTAATCTTAATTGATGGCATCACACACACAGTATTGATCTCTCTTTGGGGCCATCACAGCAACAGTTGAAAAAAAAAAAAAGAAAGTATTTCCCAGTCCTAAGAATCTCACCTGGAAACTGGAAAGCAGGAGAGCGCCAAGCCGTTTGCTTTCTGCTAAGTTGGCACTGATAGATCTGCTGAGCTCTAACATAAAAATCACACTTTAAGGAGCTGGATACCAACACAGTTAGCAAAGTTAAAAAAAACAAAAAACCAAAAAACCCAAAAAACCACTTTCCTCCTTCTTGATGCAGCTCAACTCCAGGCATTCTAACTTTAACTTCAAAAAGTTATTAAGAACTTTTTACAGATTACATTAAAATCTTGTCTGTTAAACAACATAGATGAAAAATAACTTAAAAAATAACTTAATTTTTTTGATGTTTTATAGTCATCACTTAAAGAAAGTAAATGAGAACATCTGAGCGTTTTTATGACAGATACAGTGTGCCTTTTTTTTTTTTTTAAGTAGGCCCCATGCCTAATGTGCGTCCTGAGTTCAGGACGTGGAGATCCTGAGATCAAGAGTCGCATCTTCTACAACTGAGCCAGCCAGGCACCCCTGCAATGTGCTTTAAATACGGTCTTGTAAATTATGAGCTCCATTTTACAGAAGGGAACACTGAAGCTCAGAGGGCAGATTACTTGTTTGAGGCCAGAGATTGGTGAAGCCAGAATTCAATCCCAAGTCTGTCACCAAAAAAGTGTAGTTTCCCACTAATAGCCATGCTGCCTCTCTATATTGACCTAATAATAACATTAATAATTTGTTGAACACTTATTATATAAAAGGCACTTCATTAAATGCTATGCACACTTCATTAAAACTGAAGGCAAGTATCTTATCAATTCCATTTTATAAAAGACACTGAGGCACAAAGGCCGGGTGATGGGTAACTTACCCAAGGTCACATGGTGAGTCAGCCTGAATTAGATCGGCATTTTACATTAATTACACCACTAAATCCTCAAACAACTACAAGATATAGACACTTTTTTTTAATTATGTCCAAAAACATCAATTATTATACAGCAAAGGAAGTGTGCTCTGAGTATTTGAGATACGTGTACTTTTCTCCTCCAGCTACAGCTGGCTTCAAGTGTTTTTATTTCTTGTCTCCTGATTATTTCTCATTGCTGTAAGTGGAAAAAACAGGATACCTTTTGCCTATAACCAGAGAAACCTGGCAAGTGGGCAGGAATAACCAATCTTTTACATTGTGGATTTTCTGTTATACAGAATTTTAGGTCCACATGCTCTGGAACAGAGACGGAGGTAGGGGTGACCTTAGTTAAGGAACTGCTGCTGTTGTCTTGGCACACCTGTGGGGTCAAGTGCATGAACACAAGTATGGCGGCAATTTTCTGATAAGCTAAATGGCTATTTTTACCCAGATTTCCTTCTAGACATCAGGTCATCTGGAAGTGAACTAATATCTTTAAAATAATCACAATAGCTTAACATTTGAGCTATTTACTTACTATACGGCCAAGTACTGTGTCATATGTATCAATTCATTTAATTCTCACACAACCGTGTAAAATAGATATTATTTCATCCCATTTGCTGATTGGGACCATAAGGGAAAGGAGATTAAGTAATCTACTCAAGGTTACACAACTAGTAAATTCTTTGAAATGTGCTGGACTTTCCACATTAAATATTGTATTTCAATGCTTACTGAGATACAATTATTATTGTAAACTCACACAAATCACATTTAAATATGGCATATCTAAAAACTTAGTTTTCACCAAGATATTTTACATGCATCTTCCCTCTGAAAGATTTTCAGTTATAAAGCTTAAAATCTGGTAGCAACCCACTCACCTTCTGTTTCACTTTAGGAAATGAGACAGAAAGCCATACAAAGAAATCTTTAATGCCTCTCCTCCTAGCAGAGGTGAGTGTTGAACAACTGTAAATTAGAATTTCTGTTCATGGTAGAGATTACAATGGACAGCTACTAATATAAATAGCAGTCATACTGAACACTTACTGGGTGTTTGACATTAGTGCTTATGATCTTAGAATATCCCCCATATAGAAGAGGAAACCGGTTGAGAGAGGTGACATGATTTGCTCAGTCACGTAACTAGTAAGTAGCAAAGTCAGGTAATCCCACTACATTCTTTCTGCCATAACTCACTGCCTCTTATCTGAGCTGGAACTCCACTGCCTTAGGTACATAGCATCCCACCTGTGATGCCCTGATGAAAGGGAGGCAGTGACTTCCGCCGGTTCATTTCCTTCATACTTGCTCGCCTCCAAGATTGACTCTTATCTTGATGATCGGGAGATTGTTCTTGGGGGGACAAATGAAGGGACCTGGGCTGAAGTCCTTCCTGGTGGCTGAGATCACAACTTCCTCCCACTTTAGGGCTAGAGCCAAGGTAAATTCTTTCCTTTGAAACGCCTTGAGTTATCTCCAGGGAGGCAGGTGATTTATTACACACTTCCACAGGGATGGTATCCGATTCCAGTTGATGATCATGAGTCTTAGATGTCACCGGTTCTTCTTCTAGCACTTGTTATGAAAAAGTCAAAATACAAAATCAAACCCACCACAACTATGCATCTGAGCAAAAAGGTGGACAAAGAAAATGTATGCCCCAGATCATAGAAACAGTGAAGAAGCATCTCTGCAAACATGTAAATATGATTCTAGATGCACCAGGGAGCCAGAGAAATGTTTATCTATAGCTTAGAAACCTGAACCCAAAGCAAGAGCAATTTTACTACAATACTCACCTTCCATGGTCTCTGATCTAAATACTGAGGTCATTTCTGGATGAAGCACCCTGAAAATAGGAAAACAAAGCGATCTGTTCTCCACATTTCAGCCCCAGTCTCAATGAGGCTTTAGTACCCCAGAAGAGACCTTGTATTGTTCAGCCTTTCTGAACTGCTTGCTCATCTCTGCCCCATGAAATTCTACCTACATGACAAGGCCCAGTTTCACCTCCTCCACCTCCTCCAGAGACTACCAGCGGGTTCATCACCTCCTGTACTGACTTTCTACAGAATTCATCGTTATAAATACTTATGTCTCCCTTAACACATACCCTCCTTTATTACCAATTATTTTTTAAATAGTCCCTAATATTCTAGATGGCATTATGATCTGCATGGTCTTCCAAACTAGAAAAATCACATCACCCTTTACTTCTTATATTTAATCTCCAGATGCAAAGTCCTGTCCGTCCTACCTCCAACAGTCTCTGGAAAGCTTTTCTCCACTGCCAGTTCCACTCTCAGAACTTCCACCATCTCCCTTTCCCTCCCCAGAATAATCTTACAACCTCACCACTAGTCCTCAAACATCTAGCACTGCTCCTCTCCAGTCCATTCTTTGGACAGCAGCAGAGTCTTCCAGCATCTTCAATACCTTTCATAAACTAGCCCTAACTTACCCATCCTGCTCCCTCCTGCCACTCCCAGCCCCTGCACCACTTTTGAATCTTTACACACACTGCCTGTAAAACTTACTCAACCTTTCTAATCTAGCTCAAATGTGAAACTTTCCAACCACTTCTCTTTGGCAAAGTTGGTTGCTCCACCCCCTAGTTTTCGTCCCCAGCCAGGATATATCTGTATTCCCAGCGGCTGTCACAGACAACTAACTGGAAGGCAAGGAAGGACATGGCTGAGGCATCTCTGCATCTTCCGCGATTACCCCTCCCTTCCAGCAGAAATCTGTATGGGGGGAGGGGAAGACTCTAAATAAAGAGAAATATAGAGAGAGAAACAGCTGGGAAAGGTAACAGAACGTGTAAGTCAAGGATCTACATCCCCACAGTTAGGGCTGTATCACAGATTCAAGCCTGGATAATAACAGCAACAAATGTCATTTGTTAAGCTGCTTGTTAAGCGCTAATTATATGCCACGATCTGCGTATGTTCAAAAGCGTTTTATTTGCATCATTAGCTCATTATACCGATTAACTCTTTCCACAGCTCGGTAAATGCTGTCATTAATTCCTCCCTGCAGATAAGGGAGGTGGGGTTTAGAAGGGCAAAAGCCTGGCCCACTGGAGACAGCCATGGGGGGATGGGCGGGGGTGAAATTCGAACCCAGGCCTGTGACCCACCCTGAGCCCTCAAACACCTTTCTGCAGTCTAGACACCCGGCCCTGAAAATAGGCCCCGAGCGAGAGGCGCGGCCGACCCTTCGGAATCCTCTTACCAGGAGGAGGCCGCAGTGCCCCAGGTCCCCAGAGTCTGGGGGCGGCGACCGGTCTGGGCTGGGCGGAGACGTCCGACGCCAAGGAAGCTGGTGAGGGTGTGAGCCGGCGGGTCTGGTGGAAAGGTCTGCGACTTCCTGACCTCGGGAAGACGCCAGTCTAGCCCGCAGCCTCCGCCCCTGAGATACAAGCCCGCAAATCACTCTTCGCCGCCACAGGTAGCCCTTCGATCCTCTGCGCCACTGCGGCCGTCTACGGAGCAGTCCGCGAGCCGCACCACCACCCGCGCCTCCGCTTCCGAAAAGTCCCGCCAATCAAGGGCGCATGCGTAGTTGACAGCCTCTCGCGTCCGTGCACGCGTGCGCAGAACGCCGGCCTCCTTGGAAGCGCATGCGTAGACTAGTATTCAAGCCTCGGCCTTCTGACCGCCTCTGTCGAGCCCTTACTGGTCCAAATCGGGCAGCGTAACCCATTTCCCCAGCTACGCCGCGCCCGGGGAGTCCCCATCTACGGACTGGACGCCACTTCATCTTGTCGTTTGTGTCTGACACGCCCAGAGCCCATTGAAGTTGGGGAGGCCGAGGCCCAGAGAGGTACTTGCCAAAGGAATACAGTGGGCCACAGGGCATCTGATGCCCTGCCCCCGTTAGGCCATGGTCCCCGCCCTCTCTTTGCATTGTTAGTTACAAAAACGTGGGCCTGGTCTCTCCCAGGACGAAATGGAGCTCTGTACTCAAGTTTGTTTCATTCTATCCTACTCCTACTCTAGCACTTTTTCTTTCTGTGTTCCCTTCAATACTTGGCAAAGTTCAGGAATTCTCCTTTGTAGCCTTATTGCAGGCCACCCCCTCCCCAAACTGCTTACAGCTCCTCTGCCTACCCCTATTGCTTCTTCCCTCTGCTCCTTTGCTCAAGCCGTTCCCTCTGGGTAGCCCATTCCAGCTTTATCTTGCAAAATTCTCCAATTTTAAGCCAAAATTGGGAATTAATCCCTCTCAGATTCTTCTTTGAGACTCCAGGCTGAAAATTATATGCTCCCAGAAGCCCAACCGTGCCTATTCCACTATCCCTTGCTGGCATGGGAGCGAGCCCCCAGAGAGCAGGCTGCTTCTTCAGCACCTAGCATGAGGCCATGGAAATGGCCCCTTGCGTATGCGGTCCTTTCAGATCTGAAACCAAATGTTGAATTATTAGAAGCCCATAAAGTGAAAGACGAATTGGGGAGGAACAGCTGGAATATGACTGTGGTCATCCTTCCATAGCAGCTACGGTCCTTGGAAGAGTTTTCTGATAGGAGGTAGAAATCTCCCTTCCTGTAATTTTCCACCCTGTGGTTCCAACCTGCTGGTTCTAATGGCCATCTGAAAACAGATTTGCTCTTGGTCCCCTCCCTGAATATCACACTCTGGGGGCTCAGTGGTACCCAGTTCCTTCTATGTCTGCCCACCTCTATCAAGTCCTTGTTTGTCAGTGCCCCAAGAACAGAACACTGTTCCCAGCCAGGACTGGTCATCCTGAGGCACAGTGAGAATACTGCTTCACGGATTCCAGACCCAGTACATCCTCTGTGCTTTCTCTGCTTTCAATTCTCCCATGGTTTCCGACTGTCCACACGATGTGTACATTCCTTCCCTCCTAAGGCACTGCATGATCTGACTCTCCTTTTTCATCACTCCTCACTCCAGTGACAGCCTTTGGTTCCCCTGTTGTGTTCTGTTCTCTGCTAGGCTTCGGTACATGCAGTGCCTCCCCTGGAGCCACCTCCCATCAGCGTCCTGCCTATAATATACCACTATCCCCTTCATTTACTCACCATCTCAACCTCGGGTGCTAGTTCATATATCCTTTCTGTGAGGCCTTCCAATTCCTCTTGGCTCCCTGAACACCTGGGTTCCCCCTACCATTGACATTTGCTTTCCTGTCTTCCAGGCCCATCCACTGCATTCTCAATGCCTAGCACAGGCCTGGCTGTTGTTAGTCTCTCCCCCCCCCCCCCCCCCCCCCCCCCCCCGCCTCCTGCCACACCCCTAGAAAAAAATAGAGGGACAGAGATGTAGATTTTTCATATGATAGCCAGTTTCCAAGATGGTCCCCACTGAGCTCTGATTCCTGCTGTTCATGCTCTGTGTGTTCTTCTCCCACACTGAGTAGGGCTGACCTGTATAACCAAGAAGATACTGCAGAAATGACTGTGATTTTCAAAGTTTAGTCAAAAAGCATTGTGACTTCTACCCTGCGTTCTCATAGATTACCTGCTCTAGGGTAAGCCAGCTGCCATGTTGTGAGGATACTCAAGCAGCCCTATGGAAAGGTCTATGTGGGGAAAAACTGAGGCCTCCCGCCAACAATGACTTGCCAGGCACAGAAGTGAGCCACCTTGCAAATGGATCTTCTAGTCCAAGTCAAGCCTCCACATGACTGCAGCCTGATTGACCCTTGACAGCAACCTCTTGAGACGCTGAATCAGAACTACCCAGCTCTCAAATTCCGGATTCACAGCACCTGTGATCCAATAAATGTTTTTGGGCCAATTACACTATAATAGATAACTGACCCATGTCTAATGTGTCCTCTTTATTTTTTCTATGATAAATGTTTTAAAGTTTTTTGTAGAAAATAATATTTTTTGAACACTCTGCATGTTTTTCAGTGGTCATATCACACATTCTAGGAGGCTCTGAGATGTAAGGAGTCACCATCTGGAACCCCTGGTGGCCCCTCACAAGTGACGCCAAGCCAGCCAGTTGGCTGTGGCATTCCCAGGACTCCCTCCTTTCCAGGCATCTGGGCTGGGGTTGGAGGGGGGGGAAGAGTCGGGTTTCAGATCTGATGGGGGCCCCACCCACCCTGTAAGAGAAATCAGAGAGGAGGCCAAATCCAAGGAAACTCTTCATATGACATACTTTATTTCCAATCTACAACCATTAAAAACCTTTTGTAAGTTTACACTGTACAGTTATTCTTATGTCTGAAATAAGACACAGGGGCAGGGAGAGCTGGCGGATTGGACCAGTTGTCCTAGCACCCAATCCATCTTGGGAAGGAGCCTTTTGAAGACAGAAGTGGGGAAGAGAAAACAGTGGACAGGAGAGGCAGACAGTTTGGCCCAAGGATGCCCTTGGTCCCTTCCCTCCCAAAGGCCCTTCCCTGGGGGCCCCCCAGGGCCCACAACTGCAGGACCCTCACCAAGAAACCAGGCTGGGCAGGAAGGGGGCTTCACAGTATTGGCAGGTGTTGGGGAAGGGGGGCCAAGGTGAGACGACAGGTTCTGGCTGTCTTCCCCAGCTGCTGGGCGTTGGAGCTGTTTTTTGGCACTGTCTATTCAGTTTCCCTGGAGGTGGAAGGAGGAAGGGGAGGAGCTAGGGATTTAGGATTCTTTCCTTGAGGAGTTAGGTTTTTTACTACATGAAGAGAGGCCATGCTCCTATGGTGAGGTTACCAAGGGATACACGGTGAGGGTGTTTTTCTCCTGCTCCCCTTCCCCACCAAGGACTCATACCTGCTGCCTGGCTAGCACAACCCTACATGGCCTTTTATGAGCAGAGCTGGAACTAAGCCAGAGGCAGGGAAAGGAAAATTATAGCCTTCTTCCTGCCCTCCA